TTCCTCTACCCTGAAGACTGGCTGGCCACCCAAAACCAGGAGCAACAACTGGACCGCACTCTCGTCTCACCGCCGATCTGGCCCCAATTTAATTACTCCGGCCCGCCTCCGGTCTTTCGTTCGGGCCTTGTTGGTGAGTCTTCCAGTTAGGTGTCTGTGTGCGCATGCATGTATTCTTGTCTTAGCGTGGCTAGTGGATAGTACACTATAAATACTGCCTATGTATCCTCAGTAATAGTGTTCTGGATACTGGCAACGATAATAATAGCAGCTGAACGAGAAGAAATACATAATTTCTGGCCGTTTTATACCCTTGCTAAACGAACAAGAGTCCATAATATATTACAGTACATCTATGTGGATCCTGTCTTGCCTACCGTGGTATTTTTTCACTGATGACTGCCGCGATAGCAGGAAACCTTGGATGTTGCGTAACTGTTCGTCATGACTGAAACAAGTAAAATGTAAGGAGCCCACGCTCCAAGACCTAATATATTCAGCTTCTGTTTCGTTGAAACCTGAAGTTAGTTCCTACAGCGCGTAGAAGTTGGCTAGTAGTAATAGACAGGGATAAATTCGGCTTGACATAATCTCTTAGCGCTGCTATCTAGGGACTTGGCACAAACCGAAGATTCGCTAGCTTTCCCGAGCTTCCCTTCGGGACTGTGAGTATTAAGATTTTTCCCAACTAATTCCAGAGCTTCATCTCGCGCACCTGTTTAAACTAATTCAGTTCTACCGCGGGGCTGTTCGTATATTACCGCCCTATAGCGTCAGGATAGCTCATACACGGTTTGGCCGTCGCAAACAACGATTTCGGCCGTATTCATAATTGCATGGTACTACTTGTATTACGAGTGTGTTGCTCCTATTCCCTTATACAACTGATAAAGGGGGAGGGGCGTATCACAGCTTTGGAACTCAACATGTTCTGACTCAGTGACAAAACCTTGTTTTTCGCCGTAAGATAAGTCACTGACGAGAACACTGGACCACGTCCTCCTCCATCGGCATAAGAAAAATGTGGGAAAATCCAGTAAGAAAGATCTTGTCTCAGTGTCAATTTGAGTAACCCTATAAACACATGTGTCGGAACTGTGCCATTAAGAGAGTGGCGGTTCTCCTGTTTGCGAAGGATTATTTTCTAACCATATTTTGTTCGAAAATTTTTCTGAACTAAGTATTTCTGTTTCTGCAGACAAAAAAAACAAGCGGGAAGGGAGGCGCACAGAAGTGCCGGTTTTTCGCGATGATTACTCGTGACACCGACATCCTTCCTTAAACATAATTCCATCAAAGCTCAATTTGTTCATCAGCCAGTACGTGGAAAGTGGACATAAGTTGGGAGGGTAGGACACAACTATTCTGAGCATACGTAATGCAGTGAAGGACACTTAAATCATCGCACCTCGCAACCCCCACCCCTCCCCCCAACCGTGGCAAACGAGTATTCCCTTGAGATTTCTGGATGTGTGTGAGTGTCAGAAAGAAACCTGCCGTCTAAGTACTCGGTCCATCAACCAAACGGAGTGGATTGAAAAATCAACCTTCCGGTTGCCTGTTTGCACTTTTGAGAGGATTTTGAAATGTGAGCGTACGTCAATGGACACGTTTAAGCCAAAAATCAGGGATTATTTCTTTCGCAGTGGACATTAGAGGTTGACTTCAAGCGCCCACTTTGTTCTAGCTCTTATTATTCTCATTATTCTCTTTCGTTTCCTTTTGCAATTTGCTGTTTCTTCCCATTTTGGGCGGAGCAACTGGCAGTCTCCCGATTAATTCCTAATAGTTTTATTTTTAGTGAGAGAAAAAGTACTACGTAAGCCTTCTTCTCATGCCCACTTTGTACCTGTCAAGATTTTCTGAGTCTTTCGACGTTAAAAAGAGGAGCAATGACCTTTCTAAGCCACAAAACTTGAAGTAACTAGACCCTGCGGAATATTTTTGTCCGCATCGGTTCTCCCCACCCTTCCAGGGCAAACTTCTATTTTGACTTGGGTATTTCGACCAATTTTTTGCTAGCAGTCCGTTATTCTGTCTTGTTTAGTCTCCCAGACAATTAATGCGCGAACGTGGGGTAAATCAAGACTTTTCTGGGTAGGTATGAAAGTTGTTATTCATATTTGAACTGAAATGCATCAGTTACTGCGGTATAACCGCGTAATATTCACAAACTGCCCACATACAGCGAGTGGTATACACTACTTTACGATTTACCATACTCATAGCAGAGGTAATATCTGTAAGCTAGTCTCTAATTCTTCATTTGAGCGTTTATGTTTATGATATTTGCAATTTTGTCTCTTGCTCTTGAAGCTCGCAAACAAGGATCCTTCCTCTCTTTCTTATTTTATGAATGCCTGTACATTTTTTAATTTTGTATGTGTTCTCGAATCGAGGATCATGGAGTTGTAACAACGACTTTCGTGACCACTGTCTCTAACTCTTGTCCCGTTTCGATATGAAGTTTGCCGCTATTTTTGGAAGCAAATGTTATCTGGAACTTTTCATGCATTCGACCCCCTTCTCCGCCTACTGTTCCCCAAATATATTCATCCTTACCCGTGGTTTACAGATGTTTTTTTATAATAGCCCATCCTACCATCTTCCTTAGACTTTAAACATACCTCTTAGGTGGATATCTATATATCTGATACAATACACATTCCTGCCACGCTTTCCACCTTGCCCCTCGACCACCTTAAAAAGAAACGCGAATTAACTATCGGTACTGGAGTCTCCGATATTGTCATGATGGTGGAATTTGTATTTAGCTCAACTTTTCCACTGGAATGATTGGTCCCTCTCCCCGACCTTCATCTCATGTTGGCAATGGAGTTGCCCTTTGGGCTTTACAGCTCTCTGATGACACGTTCCAAAAGAAGTCCGAAGTTTCAATTAAACTCGAATCTATTGGCATCGCTTTGTCCAACATATGCCATCCTTTGTCACAGTAATCTGATACACCTGTTTATCGTAGGCATTTTTCGTTATTGTTTGTTAGCAGGAATGGGGGGACCTCCAGGATAGATTTATAAGTGGGTTGACGTTTCGAACAGCCAAATCAGCTTTCCACCGAGAGTTTTTAATACATTTTTTCGGTAAATCATTGTCTTTCCTAAACTACCACCCCGAAGCTCTTACTTTCGTTAATTTAAGCTAGTATTCCTGCCTGGTTTATATCAAGTTAGCTGGACCCGGCCTCATAGAGGATGGCGTTGACCGATGTATCCTGATTGCTGGATGAAATGCAAGCCATTCAATTTTGCTGTTGAGCCCCAGTCGAGATCACGCGCAGACGGTCGCGTAGGGACAAACGGTCCCTACTACGGCATCAAGATAAGATGAAAACAGCTCTTATGCATCGGTAAACGCTACTTTGGGTTGCGTGAATATTTCTGATTTTACTTTTCAGGGTCTACGTTCGTGGCTCAATTGGTTGAGCGTTCGACTCGAGTTTTTAGTGAATGGGTGACCTGTTTGAAATGTCAGGTCCCCAGACTCTGGATTTGGGGTGACTTACAGATCTTCACAAATTTAAACGATCGGATATGAGCTTCTACTTCGTCCTAACTTCTAAGAAATACCTATTTACACCATTTGGTTCGTCCTCAGTTAACCCTCCCCCTTTCATTTGGCTTATTCCCCGTCAGACCTTCCTGAAATTTTCCCATTAGGATTAGGAGTTAGGGTTAGATGCTGGTTTTAGGGCTTCATGTTCCACGCCTTATTAGTGTACTGATACAAACTAATGGCGTTAATGTAATAAAAATTTCTTGCTTCCAGAAAAAAGCTGTGTCAGTTCGTTTGACTCACCCATAATACCCCTATTACTACCATTCCCGTATTACGGTATTCCCTACCTCCCGATTTCTCAGTGGAGCCACTTATCCGACCGTTGCCTAGCAAATAAGTCGGAACTG